TGGCAAATGGATGTGAAGACTGCTTTTCTTAATGGAAACATTAAGGAAGACATCTATATGAAACAGCCACAGAGCTTCATATCCAGTGGGAGCGAACAAATGGTTTGTAAGCTTCAAAGGTCCATTTATGGACTTAAACAAGCTTCGAGGAGTTGGAACATTCGGTTTGATGAAACGATCAAAACATTTGATTTTCATAAAAATCCGGATGAACCATGTGTTTATAGAAAAGTTAATGGGAATGCAGTTGCATTTGTTGTACTCTATGTTGATGACATCCTACTCATTGGGAATGATGTAGGGATGTTGCAGTCAACACGGACATGGTTGTCAAAACAGTTTTCCATGAAAGACTTGGGAGAAGCATCTTTTATCATAGAGATAAAAATCTATAGAGATAGATTTAGAAAGATGATCGAACTATCCCAGTCTATGTACATAAATAAGGTGCTAAAACGGTTTAGCATGGAAGAATCCAAACGTGGATATATTCCAATGAGTCATGGGGTTTCACTTTCTAAGACGATGTCTCCAAAGACACCTGAAGAAAGAGAACAGATGAGTCATATACCTTATGCATCAGCTATAGGTAGCATTATGTATGCAATGTTATGTACAAGACCTGATGTGGCTCATGCACTTAGTGTAACGAGCAGATATCAGTCTAATCCAGGTGAAGAACACTGGAAAGCCGTTAAGATAATTCTTAAGTACTTGAGAAGGACTAAGGATATCTTTATGGTGTATGGTAATGGAGAACTGAAACTAGAAGGCTTTACTGATTCTGGTTTTCAGTCTGATAAAGATGACTTTAAATCCATGTTTGGATACTTGTTTACTCTGAATGGAGCAGTAGTTAGTTGGAAAAGTTCCAAACAAGAAACGATTGCTGACTCTACAACAGAGGCTGAATATATTGCTGCATCTGATGCTGCAAAGGAAGCTGTTTGGATAAGGAACTTCATCCTAGGGTTGGGTGTAGTACCATCTGTTGTTGATCCAATAATGATTTATTGTGATAACAATGGGGCTATTGCGCAAGCAAAGGAACCAAGATCTCATCAAAGATCCAAACACGTTATGAGACGATACCATTTGATTAGAGAAATCATTGGTAGAGGCGACGCCGTAATGGAGCGAGTTGACTCAGCAGAAAATATAGCAGACCCCTTAACTAAGCCTTTATCACAGAAAGTGTTCGAAGGACATCTTGAGAATATGGGTCTAAGATACATGAGTGATTGGAACTAGGGCAAGTGGGAGATTATTAGAGTAGGATACCCGGCGTTCCAATCAGATTGGACGTATTCTACTTGTATATACAATCTATTGGAATTATATTAATAAATAGGCATTACTTTATCTTAAGTATTAGCATTTATCCTATATTTGCACTTAAGATAAAGTCCCTAGATCATTTATAGCTATAAAGTATGGTTGTGCATAGAGATGGTGATCATGGAATATATCTTAAAAGCTATGATCTTAAATACAGTTCCAAGTCGTTGGATATTTCGAGATAGGATATCGAATAATCCGGAAAGACTTGTACATATGATGTATGCTTGTTGGACAAGAATGTTGCATTCCATCAACATTAGCGTGAGACGCAAATACATATATGTGGGTGCTTGTTAGAGAACAAGTTCACTGAACATGACCGTATGAAAATTCTTAATGAAAGTTTTTCTGTCGAATAAGAATTTTCATGTTACAATAGTACATGATTAATCCTTAGACTTGAGGCACGATGGTAACTTTGTGCATATTATATTCTACTTTGATTTATCCTTTTGGTTGCTGGCACAATCATATAAAGGGATATTTTAGGTATTATATTAATATGTATGAAAGTTTGTCAGTGGCCAACAAAGGATTCGACACTTATGAGATAAGTGAATTTCCTATGTGTTTCATAGTTTGTAATTCAAAGTCCTTGGCCAAGGCGGGATGAATAGAGATTCATACATGAATTACTAAACTTGAAATGGAACCATAGTGATTAAATCAATTTGGGTTTCGACTAAATCATACCCAAGATTTAATCGGGAAATTAGATGTCGAAAGGATTTTACATGTATGGACTTGTAATCGAAAAGGTTTACTCGCTATTTACTTAATACTAGATTCATGCTACTTGCTAGATGTTCCCATGATATGTGAGTTCTTGAAATTAAGGAGTTAATTTCATGAATAAGAATTAATTGGATTAATTCAAATTACAAAGAGTTGTAAGCCCACTACTAGTATTAATAGTGAACCTAATAGGTCATACCAATTTTTGAATGAAGGCAAAAATTAGTATTTCTAAAGAGTTAGAATTAATTGACAAATCTAATTATGATTAGATGTCAATTAAAGGAATATACTAAATTAATCAATTAGATTGCTTAATTGTATTTTGGATATTAATTAAGTAATTAATGGAATTACTAAATTAATAGTTGAATTTTAGAATTGGATTTTAAAATTCAAATCTAAATAATAATATGATTATTAAATGAGGAGATTTTAAATATAGGAGAAAATATATTTACAAATAATTTTAAAGGAGTTTACAATTATTTGTTTATTATTATTATTATTATTATTAACTATTAATATAAATTAAAGATTAAATAATAATAATAATATAATAATGGATGTGGATGGGATATTACACCATATTATATTCTTGTATTAACTTGTAGAAATGATAAGGGATTCTTTAACATTTCTTGTGAAAGTTGAAGTTGAATTTCTTTACATTTCTTATAAAAGTTTTATAAGACATATATATTTTATTCCTAAAATTTTGGTATAAATATGGACATGGTTGTTGTTCATAATGGCTAAGTTTTTTAACCAAGTTTGAGTTAAATTCTTCAAGTGTTGATAGATTTTTCCATAACAAGAAACGTTCTTGTAAATCTCCTCAAAATATATACTCCTATACTTATTGTAAAACCGAGTAATTTCTACTAGCGAAGAAATTATATTTCGGAGTCGGATTTCAAAAGGTGGATACTATTAGAGGGAAGACGATTGGATTCCTAAAGAGAGTAACAATGAAGAGTAGTCGTTACCAAACCGGGAATTGATTTCCTCGATCATCGTCGATTTTGAAGGAGTTCAAGATTAAAGGTAATATTTGATATTATTTATTACAAATCAAAATTTGTATTATTACATGTTTTTAAATGATGACGATCTGGGTGCAATGAAGCCACGGGCTCCTTTGGTATCTAAATCGAAAAAGGGGGAGATAAAGAAAGCTACTTGAAAGGTAGTGAAGAAGAAAGTACCTGTTGCGACTAAGGGCGAGAAGTTTAAGGTCGTTACTGCCTCGGTCAAAGGAAAAGAGAAAGTTGGTGCTGATGCTGCAAAAGAGAAGGAGAAGGCTCCTGAGTCTGAGGAAGGTTCTGATGCGGATGATGTGAGGAAGGTTCTGCTGCTGAGACTGAAGAAGAAGATATGGCTTCAGAGGAAGACACTGAAGCTGGTTCTGATGAAGGTTCTGAGGATGAAGAGACTGCGGATGAGGGGTCTCCTTAGACCTTTCGGCTGGACAATTGATTGTGTTTTGTTAAAACTTAAAAACTATTTAATTTGTGTGTTGGCTTGTCTGAACTTTTACTCTTCTTTGTGTGTGATGAACTTGTTTTAACTTGTGAACTGTTTTGGTTTTTTGAATTATTCAGGTATTCGAGTTGTTGATATGAACGACACCTATGTGATGTGATAAGTATTCCTGGGGTTAGTATATGTGTTGCAGGATATATCTTTGTACGTGCAGGTTCTAGGAAATGGTTTTCGATTTATCTGCCAAAGGGAGAGATTGTAAGTTCTGAAGATTGGCAGTAAATCGACGAACCTTCTTGAGTTCCCAGGTTTCAGACAAACGCAAGTATATTTAAGGAAAGTTAATTTGATCGTGTAAATATATTTTTAATTTGAGTTGTGTATTGATAAGATGTGTTTATTATGGCATGATTAATGGAAGGAAGGCAAGATTCTCCTTCCACATATGCAACACGACGATCGTAGAAGTTGGACAAGGAAATGGAGACCTACCATACTTGGACGTAACTTGGAGGCAAAGCTAGAGGAAGTCTTACCATATGGGGAGAGAAGATAAAAGGAGATTTGAGCGGAGAGAGAAGGCGACTTTTTTATCTTCAATTTTTTAGAGATATTGAGAGCGGTTGCTTGTTGTTCATCTTTGGGATTTTTGTTTTACATTTTTATGAGTTGAGTGAAGTGATTGAAAATTGGGTAGTTTTATTGTGAGAGATAATACAGAGTGAACGGAGGTTAATTCTGGTAGAGTTTGAGGGGCTCAAACAAGAAAAGCCAGAAGGGATTTGTGGTCAGATAAGTAATAGTGCGAATCATTGTTCAAATAGAGTGTAGAGAGAGTCTATACTGTAAACACTTGAATAATGTGTGTGATATTTGCATTAATGAAAGAGATCCGAAGGGAGAGTGAGACGCTCTCCTGAAGGTTCAATTTTTAGTGATACAGCTTCCGCAGTCATTTGAATCTTCTTTTAATTCTGTTTGAATACATTGTATGCAACTCTCGATACTTGGTGCACATGCAAGTATCAAATTACAATCACAATATAATAATCATGGTAAGTTGTATTGAAATGAGATAAAACAATTAAATAAAATAATTAAATAAAATACTTGATGAAAATAGAATGCATTAATTACTTTGACTTTTCTTACTACTCATTTTAGTAAATAGGATGACTTTTTATATAAGTATAGATTACATAAGAATCGAAACACGGCCACCATAAATTTCTGCATGTTCGATTTTTAGCCTGCATTACTTGTCATGTTCTGTTTTCTCATTCATCTTTATGTAACCCTTATTCAACATGCGTTCCTTCTGTTCTGATAGTACTAGTAGGTAGTGTACTGGTTAAAATTCTCAAAATACAGGGAAAAATTACAACTGGACGATCTCAAAGTGAATAGAAGAGTGAAGCGTGAGACAAGCAATCAGTTTTTTAGCGATCTATGGAGATTAGAACCTTGACGCATTCTGGTTCTTTCAGCATTTCAAATCCCTTATCGATATCGTCTAGAAACAAGTGATGCGTAAGAAGCTTGTCTAAGTTTTTAACTTGCTGCAGAAGAAAAGTTAAAATATAGGGTAAGAGTAAGGTAGCAGCTGAATGGAAGGTAGTGGTGGGAGTATTATGAGGCGAGTAAGTACCTTGTCGATGCATTTTTGGATGAGACGGGGAAGATCAGATTGGACTCTAACACCGCCAAAGACGGCGTACTTGAATGTTCTGCAACTCAACAAAGTAACAAAGTCGATCTCAACGCACTTTTCGGTTGCTGCTCCAAGCATCATCATTTTGCCGATTCCGACTTTAGTGGCTTCAAGGGCTTCGTTTACCAATCGAGCAACTCCCGTGCACTCGAAGCTGTAGTCCACACCAAAGCCTCCTGTCAGTTGTTTAACCAAATCCGAAATGGACTTGTCGTTTGTTTTGGAGGGGTTTATAAAATGAGTCATGCCAAATGCCTCTCCAACCGCACGCTTGTTTTCATTTATGTCAATCCCTATAATTTGAGATGCCCCGTGAAATCGAGCTCCCTCTATCACCTGTCATGAATCATGATTGATATTTGTGGATAAATTGATAGCAATAGATAGATAGTAAGTGTATGTGGATGAATTATTAATTAGTAATCATGAGAGAGGTGGGTACTCCTAGGCCAACAGCTCCAAGACCCAAGACAGCAACTGTTGATCCCTTGTGGACCCGAGCTTCCCTCCAGACGGCCCCAAATCCGGTAGTGAAACCACATGAAAGGAAGCTGGCATGTGGAAGAGGCATCCTGCTGTCGATCTTCACGCAGTAGTTGACATCCACGACAGTGTACTCGGACCACGTGGAACAACTAAGGAAGTGGTACAGAGGCTTCCCACGCACCCACATTCGGTTACTCCCGTCCCCTGGCATTAGGCCCGTGAAAGCCTGTAGAGGGTATGTTTGGCAGAGGTTGGTCTTTCCGGATCTGCAGTTCTCACACTCTCCGCACTCCCCCAGATAAGTCGGGATCACAAGGTCACCGCTCTTCAGATCCTTCACTCCTTCTCCAACGCTCTCCACAGTCCTAATTAATTAATTCGTTATGCAACAAACAACACTCAATTCATATTCATACATACTGTTTGGAATTGGATGCATTCACTAATAAATAATAAACTCACAAGAGAAAAGATGACTGAAACTCACCCGACACCTTCATGGCCTAAAACTCTGGGAAACAATGGCTGAGCATCATAAAAAAAAAAATGTTACACAACACAATGAAGGAGCCACACGATCGATCGATGAGGTCTGTTTGTTAGAATTTAAACGGAGTAGCGTAGTGTAACTGGTACCGTGGGGAATCCCTTGCAGCCGAGTACATCGGTGTGGCAAATGCTGGCAAAATATATCTTCAGTCTCACTTCGCCCTTTCTTGGAGCTTCAACTTGTATCTCCTCCACCTTTGGAACCTCATTCTCTCCCCATATCACTGCCGCTGCATCCATATATATATATATCCTTAATTAATTAATCCAATTTAGCAGCTCATATCATATCCACTCTTATAATGAAAATAATACAGACTTTATTTACCACATATTTATTTGCTTCAGGATAGATACACATTTGCATGCACCTCAATTTGTCAAAACAGTTCTTATAATATTTTAGTGGTCTGATATTATATCATCATTGTAATAAAAGTAGTTTCATTTTTATTATCTTTTGTGAACTTTTAATACCTTCATTTCGAGTTTATTATCCATGATCACTTCGAGATAGATGAATTCACATAAAAAATAAATACTGGAAAATATTAAGTGAACTAAGTTGAAGAACAAGAATAATATATAACTTGGATCGACGAAATATTTATAGGTTGCTGAAAAATGACAAAGTGCAATTTGGAGCAATTTTGTGAATGCTAGCTTAACAATCCCGAATACACGCACCTCAGACGATCGCCTCAAATAACATCTTCCCTAACACTTGTAGGAAGATGTTTTCGTCTGATTCTCTGTTTTTCTCTTGTTCTATCTTCTATAGCCACCTAAAAGAGCAGACGATTCTCCGTCGGTGAATAGTATGATCCCGTCGGCGAATCGTCTGTTTTTTTTTTTTTAATAGATGTATCTAGAGAGAATTCGCCTTGGAGATACACACGCCGTGTTATTTCACAGTTGAATCAAATTCAATGAATCAAATTAAAACTTATAGTAGACTTCTCGAAAAATTCCACCCTTTATTTTTGTAAAATTTTCTTTTTTTCGGAGAACCAATTCATCTATAAGTTCAATTTAAATTTATCATTAAACGTGAATCTATATATATATTAAAAGCCAACTTATTTACCAAAAATAGTAGCAAGAAAAGTCAACATACATTTAATGCATACCTTATTTGGAAATATTTTACTATATGCATTAAATACTTGCATATTTACATTTATTATCTAGATATGTTCTTAAATATTTTTTCCTTAAATAATTTATTATAATTAATATTTGTCGAGTAATATTTTTTAACCTTTATTTAATTATATAAAACTAATATTTTTTTTAAAAATAATATTATTATCATTTAAAAGATAATGATCACATCATTAAATGATTTTATTGATGGTTAGATAATAAAATTATATTAGTTATTCTTTAAAATTTTTACTAAAATAAAAACCAGCTTAAGAAAAAAAAAATCCCATAACATCCGATAAGTCAAAAAAAAAGTAGTAAAATCTTTACTAAAATAAAAAAGACTTTATTTATTTGTCTTATTCCATAATAACATCGATTTAGTCAAAACAAATTCCATAATCGTGATGTAAAAAAATGTACGTAAAGCCTATTTATACTAAGAAAAAAAAGGCAGGTTCAAAATTCCTTATCTAATTTCTGTTTAAAGCATTTTATTTAATATTTATTTAGATGAAATATTGGATAGGATTGCTGGATCTAAGTCAGTTTTGAAATCGCTTTGTTTGGTATGAGAGGATTATCCGCATCCTATATCTGTCTAAAGCATATTATTTTATATTATTTAATTAATTTATTTAATATTAATTTTTTTTATCCATGATATTAGTTTTGTCAAAAAAATTGAACAAACAAACAAATAAAAAAGAAACGGGATTAATTACCTTCGACTTGTAAAAAATTTATAGGTGGACGTAAATATTTAACAATGTTGTTTCAAGTTCCTTAAATAATATTATAACTATGATGTTGAAATATAATCTATTTTATGAGTGACGTAAATATGCTGTTTAAAGTTCCCTAAAAATAATTTTTTAAAAAATTATGCTGTTTAAAGTTCCTTAAATATTAATATATTTAAATTATAGACATGCTGTAATATATTAAAGTCAAAATAATGTTGGAAGGCTTTTGAATTATCTAAGTTAATTAATTTAAATATTTAATCCCATTAAATCTTTAATCCATAGAATATTTTTTACTAATCCCGTGAGCATGTTGTTTTGTTATTGTAATCAAATTGTACACTATTTTACTAATAAATTATTTAATATCTATGTACAAGGAGGTCTTTAATAATATGTAATTTTTTTTTTGTCAGATACTATTTTATTGTATAATTTTCCTGCGTACTATAAAACATTTATTGAATATTTCATCTTATAATATAATATTCCCTAAATAAATATATCTCGTGTTTCGCACCGGTCCCGTACTATATATATCCCGTGCATTTTTTATTCGTTTATATAATTATAAGGCCGGATAAATAACTTTAAAATTGTGCATCCCGTGCATCGCACACTTTTGAATAAGCTCAAACAAATAACCAGGCCTTTGTTTTCTTGTAGATAATTCTATTCTATTTTGACCTGATAGGACCCAGTTAAGTATTTAAACAATGTATATATGAGGAATAATAATAGAAAATGCTTGTTACTTTGTTATAATAACTATTAACTACATATAATTTGGTTTGTGCACAAAATGAATAAATGGTTTAAATCTTTGGAATTTTACTTTAATTCCAAAGATTTAAACCATTTATTCATATAATTGTTGGCAATACAATTAGTACAATAAAAAAAAAGGCTCTTTTTCCAATTAATTGTAAAAGAAAAATGTTACATTTTACATTAATGTATAATAATATTTTATTATAAAATATTTACAACCAATACTAGCCAACTATAAATCCATATTAAATGTTATATGAAAGTTACATACTTAGAAAAAAAAGGTCTAACAAAACTTTTTGTTCGTGATATTTTATTCATTAATGTGTAATAATATATTTTAATATTTTACTATATAATGGTTACTACCAATAATAGCATAATATAACTTTACATTAAATGATATGAAAGTCACATATTAACGAATAATTCTATTGCATTACTTTTGCTTCAAATATTTATTTTACTATCATTATTATTTTTCATCTCATTGAGAGATTTTTCTTTTAAGTTATCTAATTGATTTTAGTGACATAATCAAACCCCTAGAATCACATAAATAATATTTATAACAACAAATATGATTTCAAAAATTTTCAGCAACTTAATCAATCATCATCCCTTAACATTATACAAATTTCATTATCATTTACATTTTGTACCATTAATACAGTAATTCATACGTAGTCACATAATTTATATTTTTATTGTTTATTTTTACTATAATTAAATTTTAAAACTTGATATACCTTATCTAACATTATTTTAAATAATATATGCATTTAATTATATAATGTAATATTTTGAATCTATCATCTGTGTATGTGTACAAGATCGGGTACAAATTTAATTTATAAGTATAACTTCGACTTTATATTCGGGTGCACTAATTATATACTAAAGCTAGGTACAGATTGACACATGATATTCACATATCCATTATCCATTAATTATTGTGGTCCTCAGCCAATGTCACGACTAATCTAAAACCTGCTCAAGCTGATGGATCCATTCATAAATCTGCGTTCTCGAAGACGCAAACTCATTCCTTCCACAAATTCTAGTTATCGAACACACACACGCACACGCACGCGCGCACACACACCCACACACCTTTGCAAGTGATGGTTGTTGCTTCTTCTTTGGTGGCGGTGGTGATGTCTGCCGCAGCTGCTTCTTCTTGAGCGGTGTTGGACTTTGGCGTGGACATGGCTGAATTAATGCTGCACAAGTTGAATTAGATATATTATTATTGAAGATATGTGCACTATTCTGTGCTTCCCAATTGTAACGCTTAGCTGCTTTAATAATGTAATAATAATGTAACATATGCGGTGGGCGATGAGGCCAATAATTATTTTTATACACCTCTCGTTGATCACGTGTGACATTGTCCCATCCTCATTCTCATGGTCCTACTGCTATACTCCAATAATTTAATTACGTCGTAAAAAGACCAAGATAACCTTATTTACCACATATTTATTTGCTTCAAGATAGATACACACTAGTGCAGAGCTCGTGCGATATACGAGGTGCATAATTTTAAGGCTATTTTAGCTAGTATTATTATTATATATATACATTTGCATGCACCTCAATTTATCATAACAATTTTTTTTATAATATTTTAGTGGTCTGATATACAATTGTAATAAAAGTAGTTTCATTTTTATTATATTTTCTCAACTTTTTATACCTTCATTTTCTAGTTTATTATTATAATCCATAATCACTTTGAGATTATTGAATTTGCATAAAAAAATAAATACTGGAAAATATTAAGTGATGAAATAAGTTGGACGAACAAGAATAATATAACTTAGATTGACGAGATATTTTTTGGTTATTGTAAATTGATAAAATGCAGTTTGGAGCAATAATTTTGCAAAATCTATTTATAAAATATAATTTATAGTGGACTTCTCGAAGAAATCCACCCTTTATTTTTGTAAATTTATTTTTCTTGGAGAACAAATTCATCTATAAGTTCAATTTAAATTTATCATTAAACGTGAATATTTTAAAATAAGCTCAAAGAAATAACCAGGCTATTGTTTTCTTGTAGATAATTTTATTCTATATTGACCTGATAGGACACAATTAAGTATTTTTAAACAATGTATCAGGAATAATATTTGAAAGTGAAATTTTTATGTATGCTATGTTATTTTAAATTAATTACAATTTTATCATATAAATAAAAATAATTATGTCTCTACCTAAAAGACTTTATTTATCTATATTATTGCCTAAAATAAGTTACTATATATTCTTCACACATCCATCCCCCTTTTTAAACACTTGATTAAGAGAGAGAAATAAATTAAATAATTGACTCATTTAATTTCTTAATTCGCGCATATTTTTAATAGATAGAAATAAAAATATGTTCTGTAATTCACGCAGCTGTCAAGTAGTATATATTCAGTATTTGTTAGTATATATTCAGTATATGTTGCAATGAAAACATGTCTTCCATCAAAAAATTATGTCTTCCTATTTTTTCTTTGTACTTTTCTATTACTAGTCTAAAAGGAGGAGTGTTTTTTGTAAAAATTCATAATGCCTAAAAAACTCTTACTTTGACATAAATTTTAGAGGAAATAGTTATTTTCACCCCGTTCTGAAGTCATAATAAGTTTTTCAC